TGGATTCTTATTTTTTAGAAATAGGGGACATGGAATGGAAGGTGAGGATGGGAAAAATAAGTGGCCTTCCCAGCTATTTTCCATCAAGAATTTTGACGGAACAAGGTACTTTAATAAAAACATTCTTCTATTTTTTTTTATTGCATTTCACGGACTGCATTGGTCCTTTTCTCTACCAAAACTGTATGTATATACTGTTTTGTTAATGTCTTTGTTTAATTTCTTTTAATTTATTTGTTATTAGTGAAACACCATGAAGTACAGTTGTAGACTTACAAGTTATTGTGCTTGGGTTTCAGTTATACAATGATCGAGTACCCATCCCACCACCAGTGCCCATTCTCCACCCCCACCAATCCCAGTATCCTTCCCACCCCCCTCCATTCCCCATCCCACCCTGCCTCTGTGGCAGGGCACTCCCTTTTGTTCTCTCTCTCCTTTTGGGTGCTGTGGTTTGCAGAAGAGGCATTGGGTGGCAATCATGTTCGGTCTATAGTCTACTTTCAGCATGCATCTCCCATCCTGGGCGGGTCTTCCTAGAACCCTTTATTTGGTGCTCCCTTCTCTATTTGAGCTGCCTTTACCCCTAGAGTGTGCGGCTGGCCTCGAAGCCATGGAGTGAACAACCTGGTATTTATCACAGCTGTTCTTGGGTGTTAGTCTCTTATTTTGTTACTTTATGTTACCCAGATGAATACAGACATGTATTTTTACATTTATAAGAAAGACATTGAGAGTAAAGCAGCTTCTCTGTTTTCTCCTTAAGTTTCATCCAAAAGAAATAAAGAAGAAACAAACTGTAAACGTCTTTGTTTTGAGGCCACACCTAGCAGTGCTCAGGGATCACTTCTGGCAGTGCTGGGACCATATGGGGTGCCACCGACTGAACCCAGGCTGGCCGAGTGTAAGGAAAGCTCCATATCTGCTGTACTACGTCTCCAGACCCAAACTTCAACTTCTAAGAAAAAAATACTTACCTGAAACAAAAACCCAAAACACATGAGAGCAAGCTGCCAAAATGCAGACAATAGAACGAGGTGCAGGAAGATATTGACTGTAGCTCTAGGGCCAATGAGAAAGCAGACAAATAAAATTAGCACAGAGCATAAATTTGTTCTGCTGTGTAGCTGCAAACCTAAAACCACTATAAACCAAAATCACCTTAGTAAAAAAAGAAGTCGCAAAAAATCAAATGTAGTTAAATGTAGTTGTGATCATACTCCCTGTCGATTTGATTGAGGCAAGGCATATCCTCATTGCTGGTTTAGCATTATTTCTAGGTGTGTCTGTGGTGATGTTTCAAGAAGAGATTATATTTGAATTGCTGCATTTAGGAACAGAGCAGGTCCCTAATCTGTTGAGAGTCTGCATAGAACCAAAAGGAGAAAGCTGGTCACTGAAACAGGGAAATGCATCAATCTTTAAGTTCTGTTTGTCTGATGAATTTTATTGATAAAGCACAAAATTAGTATAAATTAATAAAATGCCTCATAATGAAGTTACCATTTATAGATCATCACACCAATGAAGGTAAAAAAGAAATAGTAGAGACCAGAACAATAGTACAGCGGATCGGGTGCTTATCTTGCACACTGCTAACCTGGTTTCAATCCTTGCACTGCCAGAAGTGATCTCTGAGCACTGCTAGGTGTGGCCTCAAAACAAAGAAGTTTACAATTTGTTTCTTCTTTATTTCTTTTGGATGAAACTTAAAGAGAAAACAGAGAAGTTGCTTTACCATCAAGGTCTTTCTTATAAATGTAAAAATACATTCAGAACAGCCTCTTATCCCCAGGCCCCTCCTAAAGGAAAAAGGCAGCAATTACCCACCAGGAGTAATTCCTGAGTACAGAGCCAGGACTAACCTCAGAGCACTGAGTACTGCCAGTGTCCCACCCCCCAAAACAACAACACCTCCAAATAAAAAACTAAAACTAAGTTGATAGCAATAGCACTGCACTGCACTGTCCTCCCGTTGCTCATCGATTTGCTCGAGTGGGCCCAGTAACGTCTCCTTTGTGAGACTTGCTACTGTGTTTGGCACATTGAATACGTCACGAGTTGCTTGCCAGGCTTTGCTGTGCGGGTGAAATACTCTCGGTAGCTTGCTGGGCTCTCCGAGAGGGGCGAAGGAATCGAACCCGGGTTGGCCACGTGCAAGGCAAACACCCTACCACTCTGCTATTGCTCCAACCCGACATAAGAATACAATCAAAAAAATGTTCACACTTGTGATCAAAATAATAAAACTATAGGGCTAGAGTGACAGTACAGTGGGTAGGGTGATTGCCTTGATGTGGCAATAGTCATCATTAATAGGAACAAGCAGTACCAAGTCTAAGTTGACAAAAATACAAAAACTAGTTACAGAAACAATTTTAGGGACAGGTTAGAATGACCAACTATAATACTAGACAGAAAATAAGTCCATGCAAAGTAAAATTATATTGTAGAGTTGGAAAACCAATTGATGGAAGCTCAGGGTTGGACAGGGAGAACAAACTCTAAAGGGGCAGCAAAGGACATGGGAGGGTGATGAAAGTGTCACGAGAGACTCTAAACACTTAGCAAAACTAGAGAAGTAGGGCTGGAGCAACAGTACAGTGGGTACTGCACTTACCTTGCACATGGTCAACCTGGGTTTGATTCTAGGCATCCCATAAGGTCCTCTGAACCTTGCCAGGAGTGATCCCCAAGTGCACAGTCAGGAGTAAGTGCTGAGCACTGCTGGGTATGCCCCCCCCCCCCACAAACAAAAACCCGATAGAAATATATACCAAAAGAATGAGCTTTACTGTGTATAAAATAAGATAGGATGACCAGAAAGACAGCACAATGGGTAGGGTAGAGACAGTACAAAGGGTAGGATGCTTGCCTTGCATGTGGCTTTACCAGGTTTGAATCCCTGGCACTATATAAGATTCCACCAGGGATCTCTCCTGAGAGTAGGAAGAGGCACCGAACACTGCTGGGTGTGGTCCCCCAACTAAAAATAAACATCAGAAAAGAGTTCAGAACAGCCTCTTATCCCCAGGCCCCTCCTAAAGGAAAAAGGCTACAATAAAAGTAAACTTAGTTCTAGCATATCAAAATGGATTATAGGACAATAACCTGAATGGTGCAGTATTGGAAGACGAATGGAAAAGATGTAAGAAGCTAAGTACAAAGTATAGGAATGGGGAGCTGGAGAGATACAGCACAGGGGGTAGAGCACTTGCCTTGCACATGACTAACCTGGGTTCAAACCCCATGTAGTTCCCCAAGATCCGTCAGGAGGGATTTCTGAGTAATGCGGGGTGTGATTCAAAATCCAAAGAAACAAAAATAAATAAGCAACTAAAATATTAAAAAAAACAACAACCAAAGTTCAGAAATAGACCCAAGTATATACATTAATATGCAACAGGTGAAATCAAGAAAGATGAGTCTGTTTTAGTTATGGAGCTGGCAACTGAACCCAGAACCTCCCACGTACACACTCTGTCATGGGGTCACATCCCTGACCTGACAAGATGGATTTTTGTTTTGTGTTCGTGCCATACACAGCAATGCCTGGGGATCCTGTGATGCTGGGGACTTAACCTGGAGCTCCTGCAAGCACAGCACGTGTTCCAGTCCACTGATGCATCTCCCCAGCCCACAGGTAGATTTTTAAAGTACACAGAACTTGGTAGCAATGTAGAAAGACAAAAGGTTGGAATTCCTACCTTCTTCTATTCATAGAAATAAATCCCAGGGACCGGGGAGTAGCTCAAAGGACTGGAGTATATGCTTTGCACACTGGCACTGTTTTAATCCCTGAGATGATGCAGTCCCCTAAGCACTGGCAGGATGAGTACAAAACCCAGCTGGGAGAACTCCCACCCCATGTAACCCCCAAATAAACAACAAAGTAACCCAGCAAACATTTCTGACAAATTCTAAGTGGATAAGACATTTAAACCTAAAAGATAAAACTGTGGTACCTTCCCTCCGAAGGCAAATTATACACACAAAACATGTCTGTAAACTATCATTTGTTAAAAATGTGAACACTGTATAAATACATGTATAGACTAGAAAGAGAAACGTAATCCTGGCAACAGTGTCTATATTGAGGGAAGGGGACCTGGAAAATAACACTACAACTGTTTATGTGTAAATATTGACTCAGTAGCACCTTGTTTGCATGCAGTTGCCGGGCCCAGAACCTGGGGTAATCCTCAAGCACCATCAGTTGCGGCCAAAATATTAACAAAACAGAAAAGTGTGGGGCCAGAAGCATGCTTAGAACATCGGGTCACCAGGGATTTGCACCTCGGACTCTGAGTTTTGAGGCAGGTGCTCTCGGCTCCTTTACTCTTCTTCTGGCCAAAAGGTTCTTAAATTTTGTAGGTGGATATTAGCATCTTCGAAAACATTAAATAACTTAAAAATGTTCCCTTCTATTTTCAAAGCTGGAAATACTCTCTGTGTGGCATTAACACACATACTGATATAACATATTTCATTTGCAAACAATGTTGGCAAATGATTGAAATAACTCTCCATGTTGGTTCACATTCCCTTTGTACTCAGATTCCAGGCCAGCTATATTGCTTTATAATTCCTTAAACATATCCTTGCTTTCTTTTGTATTTTGAAAATAATTTTCTTTTTAAGAGAATTTGACCCACTTCCGCCTACTAGAATTATATTAACTCGCGGCGAGAGATAGGACCATTGGCAAGATGCTGGGCCTGCATGTGGTGGACTTGGATTCGATCCCTAGCACCCACCTAGTCTCTCAAGCCCTGCCAGAGGAAATCAGAATAATATTGCTCTAAACACTGCCAGGCCCCAAAACTATGTACATACACACACAGACACAGACACACACACACACACACACACACACACACACACACACACACGGCCATCTTAAATCTCATCTACAAAGCAAACTTTGTTGATATTTTAAATAGACAAAGAGAGTGAAACGCAAAATAAAAAAGAATGTAAAAAGATACACAGGCAGGATAACCAATGTAAAGTTATTTATTAAACAAGTCAGATGCAACAAAAAGTTTTCTTTTTCTTCCAAGAATGTAACTCTGAGTAATCCAGCCTTACTTAACAGTGCCTCTCCTCAGGGTTCCAGAGCACAGCCACGGATGCAAGGATTTCCCATGCAACTTCCTAACCTGGGAACACTCTTCATATCATTCCTAAGTACTACACAAGCACTCATGGTGTCCCCACTGGAAGGTCTTATAGGTTTCTTTTTAAAGGGAACTCCTAAAATCAGCTCTTGCTCTGAACAGCACCAAATGCCCCTGTATAATCTTATGTAGATTTTATCTGAGCAGGATACTACAAGGGGAAGGAGGATGATGTCACTGTGAAGTGGGGGCAGAGTGAAAAGAAAGAGACAAGAAAAGTCCAGCATTATTAGACCCCTTTGAAGCACCTGTTTTGGGGAAACGTAGCTTGTCAAACTTTTTAATGACAAGGAAAATAATAAAAACAGATATGAAAAACATTTTAAACAGAGCACACAGTAAATCCACAGATAAAAATTAAAACATACATACAGATTAAAGCATGAAACAAAAATGTTTCATGGTTTTCAATGCTTCTTTAGTATACTCACACACGGCCTGAATTGCGTATGTCCAAGTTAAACAGTATTAAAGTCACCTTTTTAAGGTATTATACTGTTGTATAAATGCGTCAGGTGTATACTGTCCACATCATGTGTGCAAAACATATTCTACATATGAACATCCTCACATTTAATGGAAAAACTCATTAAACAGCTTGATTTGAGAACAATTGCGGATTTGACATTTCTGTTCATTCTAACATCATAATCACTGTGCTATCAAAAACCAGTTAATTCTTTTTTAAAAGAGCTGCTCCTGAAAATTTCAGTACTTTAGAGTGAAAGAAGGGGCCATGTGTTCTCATTCATAAAACCTGATGTTAAGTTTATAGTTAACAAAAAAGAACAGTGCAAGAGGAAACTGAACTTTCGCTCTTCAGTAGTTCCAAAGAGCCTCATACCGTATTTCACTGGCAAGAGTGGTTTCACAACAGATTCGGCAGTGGCTGCAATTGGAAAACATACCTTTGCCCCATAACAGAGGCTTGAGACCATCTTGACTTTGGCAGAACACATGGGGGCCATGGGTGAATGGGGACTGCCAGTGGGGCGAGCGTAAAGGAAAAGAAATCTGTGGATTTTTAAAAGAGGAAAACAGGATGAAACGGCTTATTCAGAACCATAAAACACATTTTAAAATTAGCGCTCAACTGTGTACAAATAAATCGGTGTTCAGAACCTAAGTGGCGAACAAAATTTACGTGGCAACTCTGTACGTGCCCGTCCATCCTTTCTGGCCGAGGACCAGCTGCCCTGGATCAGAGGGAAAGGTCCCGGGAGACGCCTCAGTCCGACAGAGAAGGAGAGCGAATGGACCTGCCGCTGGCGGGGCTGGAGAAGGTGAAAGGCTCCTTGTCTTTCTCTTTACTGTCGTGCTTGTGCTTGTGCTTGTGCTTATGCTTGTGTTTTTTCTTCTTCTTCTTGTGTTCGTGGTGATGGTGGTGGTGGTGGTCACTGTGTTTGGAGGATGCTGTTTCCTTCGTGAACATGGAGAGCGGCGCTGCCGCTGTGGGATGGAGGCTCATCTCCAATGGGGACTGTTCTTTACCTTCAAGATGAAAAACACCCAAATGAATTCCTATAGGCAAGAGGAAGAGCAAAAGGAGAGAGAGCAGAAGACATCGGAGACAAAAGGAATGCCGAGGGTTTTATCCCTTCCTTCCACGGAGTAACTAGGCTGGAAGAAGTATCTATGTAAGATTCTCAACGGGCTACATGGATAAGTTTTCAGCAATGTGGTCAAAGACCTTTGGGTATTTGAGCTCCTTCTATGTTACAGGAACTATTAAGTGTGAAGGTGTTACTAAAACATCTCCTAAAAATTAACATTTACTAGCTTAGAGATCCATGACATGATGAAATGATTATGTGTGCTACAGATTGAGACAATGACAAAGGAAAACACAGCTCCTTTAACCAGCTTTGCTCTAAGGAAAATGATATTTTATTTGTGCCATCTGAAGGCTCTTACCCACATAGAAAAATGTCATATAAGTTATCAGCAAGATCTAAGCAAAAAAAAAAAACCAAAAGTTTCTTAAGACAGTTTCTGGTCATAAAGCAGCAAACTGTATATTTAATATACAGAGTTAGGAAACCCTGAAAAGGTGGCAAGTATATAAGAGAATACCTGTAAGAAAATCAGAATTTTAAAAAGGTGGGGGAGGGGCACTCAGGGTTAGGAGACCCAGGTTCCAGCAAAAGTTCTGCTACTAAGCTTCAGCAGATTTTTTAAAACTTCTGGTTTGTGGGTCTCACTGGCAATGCTCAGGGATCACTCTTGGCACTGCTGAGGGCCCCCGATGTGGGGAATGAAACTGGGGTTGCTACATGCAAGGCCAATACTTTAGACCCTGGACTATCTCTCCAGTCTCCTTTCAACAGATATCTTAGCTCTCTTTTATTTCACCCCAATCAATCAAGTAAATGTCTTTGAAGGTTTTGCCCTATATCCTCCTACCTGTCTAGGAACCTATAATTGTAGTTCTCAGACTTGTATACTGTACAAACATTTCTTGCTTCCTCCAGACCTTGGACTACATCCTGAGAAAGAATTCTTTCTATATCACTATACACTAATGATATTGCTTCACATGTAGTCACAGAAGAAAAATGCCTAAAAAGCATTCAAATTACCCTTCCTTCTGCATTTATCAGATCTTACTAAATCTCACACACATCTCTTAGATTAGTCCAGTATCCTGCCTGCAAATGTATTCATTCTTCACCTCATATGGATAACAGTACAAATCCCCTAGGACCCGGTTACTTTGCCTACAGCACTGGTTCTTAATGAGGGGTAATTCTGCTCCATGGAACTATTTGGCCATGCCTGGAGACATTTCTGTTGTTACGGGTGGAGTTAGGCAGTAGTGAAGAAATACTTTGGATAACCTGTAGGTAACAGCTATTAGGGATGCTGTTAAAAACCATAGAATCGGCTAAAGACAGAGTACAGTGGGGCAAAGCATTTGCTTTGTTCATAGCTGACCCCACTTCAATCCCTGAAACTGCATGCAGTCACCTGAGCAATACCAGGAAGGATTCCTGAGCACCGAATGAGGAGTAAACCCTGAGCCAGTGTGGCCCCCAAACCCAAAACAAAACAATTTTTATAGAGAACAAGACAATCTTTTGCACAGTCATCTTCTGAAAATAAAGTGAGGGGCTGGAGTGTGTAGCACATTGTGTAGGGCACTTGCCTAGCACACTGCTGTCCCAGTTTCAATCCCTGGTACCCCATATGGTACATTCTGAGTGCACAGTGGGCATCGCAGGGTGTGGCCAAAGACCAAATTAAAAAATAGACAAACAAACAAAAAAATCCTACAAAGTGAAAAAATGTGGGTTTTTTGGTTATTTTTGGGTCACACCTGGCTATGCTCAGGGGTTATTCCTGGCTATACACTCTGCACTTCTGCACTCAGAATTACTCCTGGAGGTGCTCGGGGGACCATGTAGGATGCCGGGGATCGAACCCAGGTTTTGGGTTTGCAAGGCAAACACCCTACCCACTGTGCTATCACTCTGGCCCCGAAAAAATGTGCTTTTAAAAACGGATCTACTAACAATAAATAAAATCCAAACTCTTTGCATTCCAATGCAGAAGCTTCTGGAAAAAAAATTTTTTTTTTTTTAAATTCAAACTAGCTGCCTGTCCCCACCAAATAAAAGCAAACAAAACAGGCTTTTCATTAAAACAAATCTCAAAGTAGCTGTTTTTCTTTATTCACAAAGTCAGTTCTCAGGGCTCGGAGATAGTGCAACGGATGAGGTTCCCGGCAGTACGTAAGGCAGTGCTCCGCTAGGAGGGATCCCTGAACCCAGAGCCAGCAGTAAGCCCCGGACATACATAGGCTTGTATGGCACCAAATTAAAAACAAACGAATACTACATTCTCAGTCCTAATGTTGGGGAACAGGGATGGAGGAGGAGAACCAACTGTGTACTGCTGAGGGGATGTTTTCCTAGCAGAATTTAGGGGATAACAGGTGTCTGGATCAAACCTGAGGCTCCCGCACGCGAAGCATGCACTTCAGCCTTCTGAGTCATCCCTCAGCCCTTAGCATGAATTCTGGTCCAAACCCAAAAACGTGAGAAAATGACTAGGTACACCTCCAAACACCTGTGTAAAAATAAATAAATAAATAAATAAAAATATATATGGGCCATGGATTTGGCCCAAGGGGCAGGGCAAATGTCTTCCTATTTCCAGCCTGGCACGCCTGGCTTCCAGACACCAGCTGTGGCTCCCATAAAGAAGCTGTATCCTAAAAGGCCAGGGCGATGGCTGAGGGCCACTGCACATGTTCCCCACAGTGGCTTGGGTTTAGTTCCCAACACACACGAGCGATCCCCAAGTACCATGCGGGAGTAGACCCTGAGGACTGTGGATATGGCACAAAAACAAAACCAAGAAAATATGAAGAAAATTGTATCCTAATGGAATGGAAGGGAAAAAGAAGTTTCCATCTCTTTAATAAACGTCACGCTCAGGAGAGCCTGAGAAAGGTGCCACCAGGCTGAGAAGTGCACCACATAGCAGAAGCCTGTAGGTGGAGCCCAGCTTCAACCACCCCATGAGCACTGCCCCAAGCCCAAAATAAAAGAATCAGAAACTCAGTTCAAGTGTCACTTCTTTGGGAAGATTTCCTCCCAAATGCCCCAACAGAATTGACTTTATCATTTTTTAAAAATACAAATCAGGAAATTAAGTGACTTATTCAAAGTGGTACTGGCGGATCTGAACTGCCACCAATGGAGCCTAATTCGAGACCACACTAGCAATCACTTCGAGCATCACACACAACACGGTGAGTGCTGCAGCACATCTTCAAAAAGCCTCTCTGGATATTCCAGTAGACCCAACCTCTGAGGTTGGGGATTCCTTTCCTCTCGGATCCCAGTGTCTGTACTTCCACAACCCCACCTCTGCCCACACCTGCTGAACAAAGGAACAGACACAACAGGATCATGTAATCAGTAATCATGCATAAAATTAACTTTAGTGTCTAACTAAATGCAATCTGAAAGCCACTTCTCTGGGGGATGAAACACAGAAATCTATCATTTATTTCAACTGGTACTGACTACTGTGCCTCTTTGTGTCAAGCCCTGCTCCAATATTTTGAAACAAGTAAACAGATCAGACAAAGCTTCTGTTGTAACAGACACTTACATTTGATTATCATGAAATCATACTTTTCACATTCATGATTTTAGCAGAGCTAATGCTAATATTACAAAAGCTAAACAAAGGTTTATTTTTATACAGAAGCGAGTGTACCATTTTGGCAAGCAGTGATTGGTAAACAGGGATGGAAGCAATAGTATACTGGGCAGGGTGTTTTGCCTTGTACAAGGCAAATCTGGGTTTGACCCCCGCCACTCCATATCCCCGCATGTCCCCCAGCACTGTCAGGAGTAATGCCTGAGTTTGGTCAGGGGTGACCCCCCAAACAAGTTGGTAGCCAGATACTGAGGAAAAAAAAAACTGCTTGAGGTTATCTAACTTGAAGTATCATCATACAGAAATAAGATTTGCTGTATTGGGGAGGGGGTGGGGCTTCCAAGCAGTCCCCCGGGCACCCAGGAGTCAATCCTGGTGAGAAAAGGCCAACCATGCTGGCCAGCTCCATGCTCAAGACAGAGGATGTGGCGCTGCTTGGAGCCTGAGCAGCCAAGGACCACCAGGGCCCTCCAGTTTGGATTTGAAGCGAATTATTACATCAATTTTATGGATATGGAAAAACAGGTCAATACCTAAGAATACAAACCCCAGTGGTCAGAAAGAGCAACGAGACCTTTAAAAATCTCACGAACAAATTCCTCACTCCTTATCTCCTTAGCATGTAGCAGCTGCCTGCCACTTTCAAATTGCACTTTGGGGAAGTCGGAGGTTCTTTTCTGCATTAAAAGAAATTTCGTCAGCTATTCCTAAATACCTGCCAAGCTACTTGGATTACAGAAAAGCCAATAATTACATTGGAAAAGCGCACATCCCAGCAGATGTAACTGCCAAACGGACAGCTGGGTATAAATGGGAATATTCCTTTCCTAGGAATTCTTACAACCACTTCAAATGTGAACACAATCTCTTATTTGTACTGTGCTACATACCAGCCTTATACTGTGCATAAATTACAAATATATATTTATTTGCATTTTGCTTGATTTGCATGAAATCTACTAAAAATTATAATGGGCAAGCTAGTTCTGATAACCATAGTGCAAGGAACCAAAACTCCTAGGAAAAAAGCTGAACAAAATATCTGGGCAGAATATTAAGAAAGCAAGCCTGAAACATACTGAAAAGTATAGTAATAAGGAAGCGCAAGTCTGGTATAGTAACAAGGAAACTCAAGTCTTCCAGAACAGTCTTAGTAACCTTAAAAGGTTCCTACTATTCAAAGATGGATGACTTGAATATCGATAAGGACAACAACAACAGACTAGAACTAATCACGCTGGAGGATACCAGTTAGCACTGTTTATCTATTTATTTTTTTGCAATGCCGAGGATCAAATCCAGGTCTTCATACATACAAAGCAAGTGTTCTTCTGGCTGAGCTGCATTCC